TGAGGTAGGTGTGTGCGTGGGATAGGTGTGTGCGTGGGGTAGGCGTCAGTGTGGGGTAGGCATGTGTGTGGGGTAGGCACATGCAGGGTAGGTGTGTGCGTGGGGTAGGCATGTGTGTGGGGTAGGCACATGCAGGGTAGGTGGTGTCTGGAAAAGTCGGATGGGAGGGCAGCAGCCGCCGGCCCGGTGAGCTGCATGAATGCCGGCTGGGGCTCCCGTTTAACTGGGATGAACTTGCTACTCCACCCTTCACTCGTTTGGGGCAAAACAAGAACTTCTTAAAAGTAACGAAAGGACAGAACGGCGGGAACCCCTCGGCCTAATGTGAAATGGGAGCTGTGGTGTGGATTCAGCAAGCTTCCAGTTTGGGCCCCACGTTTCTGCTGGCAGGTCTGCTCTGGGCGCGTCTGGAGTTCCTGCTGGCACCGCCGGGCAGCCTCCCTGGCCGATGGCCTCCCCTCTCTGGCTGGGAACGTGACTCCGCAGCGGCACCGCGGTCTGCCATGGCCACTGCTCCGTCTGCCCTTCCGGCAGCAAAGTGTGCACAGCGGGTCCAGTGCTACAAGTCTTACACCCAGTGGCGCTGTCACAGAGGACGCAGAGGCGAGCAAGGCGGTGTCTGGAGGAGGCACCGGAGCAGGCAGCACAGCACGTGGCTGACAGGACGGCACGCTGTGTGACCTTGGCAAGCGTCTCAGCCTCTCTGTGCTGTAGTTTCTGCATGAAACATGGGCATTTTGCTAGTGTTTAGTGCACAGGGTTGCTGTGAAGGTTAAATAAACGCACCGGGGAAGCACGGAGTGCCTGGCACAGTGGTTCTCAACCTTAGAAGCACCTGGGAATCTTTTTAAAATCCTGATTTCTGGGCCTCATCCTCCGGAAATTCTGTGTCTTTGTTATGGGGTGGGGCCACAACATTAGCAACAAAGAAACAGAATTTCCGGAGGATGAGGCCCAGAAATCAGGATTTTATAAAGATTCCCAGGTGATTCTAATGTGCAGCCAAGGTTGAGAACCACAGGCCTGGCGGATATGAGCACTTGGTGCTGCTGTGGGCTGGGTCCCCGAGGAGGAGCAGCCAGGCCGAGCCGCAGGGCACAGAGCATGGGGAGTGGCGAGGAGCAGGGAGCATGCTCGGAAGGACGGGGACAGCACTGAAAGGAGCCCGTGCACCAGGAGGGGGGCTGCCTGGGCCTGGGAGGCCACCTGCTCCTTCTGAGGTGCGCCCCAAACGGGCACCCCATTCACAGTTCTCCTGCCTCCAACAGAAAAGATCCTCTAGTTATCAGAAGCCAGAACTTCATTCTTCTTTCGTAACCCCCAAGGGGAGAGCCGAGGACACGAGGAGGTTAAGGGAAGTGCACTTGCCCACTTCTGAAAAGCTTCACCCTGCCAGTCAGACTGGGGACCGGGGAGTGACAGGGAGGAGTGGGCTAGCGGGATGCCAACAGGAGCGCCACCTGGTGCCAGGGTGCGGTGGGTGGCGTTCCTGCCTCAGAGCCGTGCAGAGCCTGTCCCGGCTGCTTCCTGCGGGGCCAGACGAAACCCGTTTCTCACATAAGCATTTCAGTCCACGGTGGATGACAGAGCAGGGCTCCCCTGCCCCGGAAGACAGAAGTCCCCACGTTAGAGACTGCTTCCTTTGGCTGAGCCAGCAGGGAGGGCGGGGAAGCTGGGATCAGCACACAGGGACGGGGGTCCTGACCCTCCACCTGCTGTAGTCCCGCCTGGCTGTGAGGAGGGCAAGAGGAGAGCCCGTGTGGGATACCTCTGAACATGCTCTGTAAACCAGGGAGCCACGCACGGAAGGAGCGGGAATTTGATATCCGGGAGGGAGGGAGAGCGGTTCTGGGGGCTGGAGCACTACAGGGAGGAGGTTCTGAGGGGTGGGCGTGGACCCTGCTCCCAGCAGCCAGGGAAGATCATGGAGGCCAGAGGCAGCAGCCAAGCTGTGGACAGGAAAGTTAACTCTTGTCAACTGACTTCAGTGCCCTGGAGACCAGGCCGAGGGAAGGTGGGAGCCACTGTCCGGTGCGCTTCCCATCTTGACCACAAGGGGTCACCATTGCAGCAGAAACAACTTCAGCGCTATCAGGTCTTTTCCAGAAAGGGGGGTTGGGGAGCCCCGAGTGGGAATCAGAGGTCTCGGGCCCCGGTGTGCACTGGGCAGCCGCCAATGCCCACTGTTTGCTTGAGGAGCCGGGGAGGGGTGCTAACTCGAGTAGGAAGCCCAGGTGCGTGCCCTAAACAAGCCTTCCCTCCATCACCGCGCTGTGCCCCGAAGCGCAGTCCCAGCTCCAGCGGCTCAGGCAGGGAACCCGATTCGCCTGGAAGTATGTCCAGGTCGGAGAGCATGTCCCAAAGTGGGTTCCTTCAAGTTGCCTCTTTTTAAAAATCCCATTAGTTTAAAAAATGAGACCATTACACCCTCGCCACCCAGTGCTCATTAGCATATCAGAAGCTATGAGAGTTCTGTCGTTAAAAAAAAAATTAACCCTTAACTCTGATTTCTAAACCCGTTCTAGTCATGGTCTCTTCAGTATGTGAGCATCGCATGAGCAGTATTCCAGAGAGCACCCCGAGCTGTGGGCGTCCAGGGTTTTAGGGGAATGAGCACAGGGAACACCCGCTGCTATTCCAGCTGGTGGGAGCAAGGGTGGTTTTCATCTTATTCTGCTCCTCGCGGAGCTCCGCGACCCTGCGGGGCGATCACACTCCCTTCTATAAACTCCACGGCAGCCACTGGGAGCTCCGGTCCCTGCCGCCCCCACTGCGCCGTCTGTCTTCCCTGGGAAACGGGGCCTCGCCGCCTGCTTGGACTGAAGCAGGATGTTTGTTAACGGCTCGTCATTTCGTAGTTTTGTGACTTCAGGAAAGTCCTTCGCTTCTGGCATCGGAGGTTGTTGGCAGAACCAGGGACCTCCTGCCCGAGGAAGCGCATTGATGGCTCGTCCAGACCCAGGAATACAATCTGGCGAGAGTGGCATG